GATCAATATTCTTTCAATCTGATCTCAAACATAGATTTACCAACTAAGATAAATAATCAAAAGCAAACTGAACTTAGCTTTGGCAATGGAGAGTTCTTACCAAACTTTCCGCCTTCTTCTCTCATGTCTACGACAATATCTTCGTACTCTTCATCATTTCTAAGCTCGTCCTCAGTAACTACTTGAGTCAGGCACACGACTTTAGTGGCCGGTGTTCCCTGTTGTAGCATAATCCTCTGTGAAAGAGAGAGAAAAAAATTGAAGCGTAAACAAAGAGACAAAGTTCATAATCTCTCTATGCTTAGACAAAATCTTATGTAATTCTCTATTGTACCTGGAAAGCAATCTGTTGCTGTGCGTGCAACAATACACTTTCCTGTTCAGGTTTCGGCTGAGTTGTTCCTTGGTTAGCGCGCCTCACTGTAAGAGTTTTATCTCCCATTGTAATTCCGTTGAGGGCAGCGCAAGCAATGTCTGTCACAGAGCTATCTTGATACGCGCAGAATGCATATCCTCTTGAGTTTCCAGTATCTCGGTCTCTTACAAGATCAAAACCCTTCAGGGCACCCAAAGACTCCAACAACACCTTGATTTCTGCCTCAGGGATATAATACGGAAGTCCACCAACAAAAAGACGGTCTGGGCCCTCAAGCGCACCAGACGCCCCTGGAGTCAGACCAACAGCAGCCAAGTTTAGATTGGCAATGGGCTGGCTTGGACCAAGGGTTGCTGCTAGCGATGGGTTATAGTCACTCGGTCTCTTCACCTTCACTGGGGCTCCCTGGGAAAGAGGGAAAATATGGTTTAATCTTAATTCCATATATGAATGAAATGCTGATACTCATAGTTGATTGAGTACTGATGAATTATTCTTCATTACCTATAGCGTATACACATATAAATCATAAGACATACCTCAAATATAATCCCATCCAGAGCCATTGCATTACTCGCCTCTTCCACAGATCGCATCTCCACAAAGGCAAACTTTTTCTCGTGGTTTATGTAGACATTGACCACAGCATCACCTGCAAGAGGTGAAAACAATCGTAACCACTTTCAAACCAAAATTCTACCAATGTGCCACACCAGATTATTATACCTGGACCAGCAGTGTTTCCGCCAACAGCAGCCATAACCTGACTAAAAAATGTTGCAACAGACTGCAGTATAATAATTTAAACGTGAGTATCAAATGCAGGACCAAATACCAGGGAAGCGGAATACATAGTTAGTGAACATTAAACCTGTTCATTTGCTGAGGGAGAAAGGCCACCGACATAGACTCTGCGAGCATGTCTAGTAGCCTGAAGACACATTGAATAAACGCATGTTAGGTTATACAAAACTCATAATATCTTCGATACATCCATGAGAAACATAACAAACCTGTTGTGTCATTGCCTGAATTGGCATCATAGGGAGTCCCCCGAATGCCTGCATGACAAAGAAGAAGTAGAGATCAGCTGCGGAAACATGGATTAACTTTAGCAGGGACAAGGGCACATACCTGTCCAGTTGGTAATGGAAACATTCCACCTCCAGGAAAAGTTGGGAATGGAGCAGAAACTTGGCCTACACAAGGAAAACAAGGTAAATACCTGAGCGGAGCCTATTACTATTACTTGAGTATGAGAACATCTAGATCAATTTCCCTGGAAAGTAACCCAACTTTGCCTTCTCAAAAGAAAGACAAGGAAACAAAGAAACACCATACAACGAAAACTTTCAGTTCCAGCAACATATACCATGTGAAAAAATAACGTAAACGAAGTAAACAACCTACTCCTGGTTATCTCTTTCAAGGAAAATATAGGAGAAAACAGGCCTTACCAAAATTGCTATGTGAATTGGATATGAGCTCTACATATTTGAATATATATTGAAATGGTAGGTGTTCAAATATGAGGTGGAAATACCTGTAACAGCAGCACCAGCATCTAACATCCCCGAAGTTGGGGGTGCCATGTCGAATCCACTGACCCGCTTACTGCAATTAAGTAAATTGATATTCAACGAAAGGAAAACACAAAGAACTATTTATTTATACTCTACACTCAAATTGGATAATACCAACTAAATGAAACAACTCTCTAGTCATTTAGTCATGAAAGCAACATAATGTGAATGATCATTTCTTTGACAAAAATAAGCTACCTCTTCGATGGAGATCGTGATCGACGCTCAGATCTACCCTTTGAGCGAGAGCGAGGACGGCGTCTATCTCCTCTATTCTTGTCATAATCTCTACGTCTAAAAGGAAAAAATGTCAGATCTATATTTTAACGATTCGAATGAGTTTCAAGCATAATGTAAAGAGAATACATAGTTCTAGAGCAGTAATAACCTGTCAAAGTCACGGTCACGGCTTCGACGATAGTCATCATCGTCACCTCTAACACGTTCTCTTCTTTCACCTCGTTCACCACTACGATCCCTATGACGAGTTCTATGATGTCGCTCTCTA